AGTGATCAGATGACCTACCAGACCATGGCGCAGATTTTCATGGGAATTGCTCAGACTGGATGCTGGGGTTGCTTCGATGAATTCAACCGAATCTCCATTGAGGTGCTCTCGGTGGTGTCCACCCAGTACAAATGCATCCTTGATGCGATTCGTGCGCAAGTTCAGGTATTCCTGTTTGCAGAGGAGGAGACCAAGTTGATTTCGACATGTGGAGCTTTCATTACCATGAACCCCGGCTACGCTGGGCGAACGGAGCTGCCAGAGAATCTCAAGGCGCTCTTCCGTTCCGTGGCCATGATTGTGCCTGACCTGCGCATCTGGTATTTGCTTGGTAAACTTTGTGGATGTTTCCTATGTTGATTGTGATTATATGTATTTATATGTGTATATATATATATATATATCGGCGTCGGCTCTCGTTACTTGGGGCGGGACTAAATTTTGTGCCAAGGATTCATTTGCGAGAACATGCTGATGTCCGAGGGTTTCATCAAAGCCCGACCTTTGGCCAACAAGTTTGTGCAGCTCTATTCATTGTGCAAGGAGCTTCTGAGCAAACAGATGCACTATGACTGGGGTTTGCGGGCTGTCAAATCCCTTCTTCGGCAGGCAGGTACGTTGAAGCGCTTGGAACCAGACAGTGATGAGAATCCCGTTCTTTGCCGAGCTTTGCGAGATTTCAACACTCCCAAAATCACCACGCTGGATATGCCTATTTTCATTCGCTTGATCCAGGATCTCTTCCCTGGTGTCTGGCCTGATCCATTCAGCGATCCAGACTTCGAAAAGTTTTGCGAACAGATCGCCAAGCAACGTGGCTTGCAGGCAGACAAGCAGTTCATCATCAAGACTGTCGGCATGCTTGGAATCCTTGGGGTGCGCCACTGCATGTTCATCATTGGACCATCTGGTTGTGGCAAGACGGAGGTGTGGAAGACTCTGATGGAAGCACTTCGGGCTCGTGGGGAAGACGGGCAGTGGGAACAGGCAAATCCAAAAGCCGTGACCAGTGACGAGCTGTACGGCACCATGTCCAAGACGAAGGAGTGGAAAGATGGACTGATTGCTGTCATTTTCCGGAACATGAGCAAAGAGATCAACGGCTACAAGTCGTCCCATCAGCACAAGTGGGTGATTCTGGATGGAGACATCGATGCAACTTGGATTGAGTCCATGAACACGGTCATGGACGACAACAAGGTCTTGACATTGGTCTCCAATGAACGTATTCCATTTTCTCCATCCATGCGCATGATTCTCGAGATCCAAGATATGAAGCATGCAAGCCCAGCAACTGTCTCACGAGGTGGTGTCCTTTTCATCAACGAAACTGACATTGGTTGGAAGCCTTATGTTGAAAGCTGGCGGGAGAAGCTGGACCAAATTCCCCAGGGTGCCTTCTACTTGCACTTTTCCAATTACTTTGAGCAGAACATCGAGGCCATCCGCAAGTCGTTCAACTTCTCCTGCCCAATGCTGGATATGGGCTTCATCAACAGCCTCACGTGCTTTATTGATGCCCTTTTGACCAACAACACAAAGGAGAATCTGGAGGCTTTAAGAACCATGACCCCTGAAGAGCAGAAGATGAGCTACGATGCCATGTTTTGTTTTGCCATGATGTGGACCATTGGTGGTTCCATCGCAGATGACAAGACAGTCAACTACCGCAAGGCCTTCAATGCTTTCATGAAAGGTATCTCGAAAGGGGTGCGCTTCCCTGACCAGGGGGAGTGCTATGACTACATCTATGAGCCGAAGGCCAAGGACTGGGTGTGCTGGGATACCTACATCAAAGCCTACCAGCCATTGACAGAGCAGATGTACCAGAACATCGTGGCTCACCTGCTTCAGACAAAGGGGCTGGTGCTTTCACAGACAACATGCCTGTTAAATACTTTGCACACATAGATGGAGGGACATGCGTTGGGAAGTTTAGCTACACTCAATTGCAACATAAAGACAACACAATGCAAGCTAAGGGGATTTTGGGCAAAAGGGCAGAAAGCACTGCATGTCCATTTCGGGTTGTAACAAGCAGAATGTGTTTTTTGTCCACCACCACGCGTTGTATGCTTTTGATCTGCAGCTGCCAAGGTAATCAGTAACATGGAGTTGGAGCGGATGAAGTATGTGCTTGAGCTGCATGTGGC